CCCTTGATTCTGAAGAGAGAAAAAAAAAAGAGATTTGGTTCAAATTCACAGGCGATACTTTTACATAGGCTATTCCAACTTAAAAGGACTAGTAAGTAAATGTATTCAGAGTGGTCGGTCTATGATAATACGCTAGTCTTTTTAGACCATTCAAATGCACAGATTGCGAAGCAACGCAATAACAGTTATAACATATGGATATTAAAAATATATATAAGCACTGACATACCTTGTCTCTGTCAGCAGTAGTTATTCTATATTCCCCGATTTGTTCCGTAGATGCAAATACAATTTGCCATCCATGACACGACTCAGTTTGAGATTGAGTATCTTTTACCACAATCTACCCTCGCAAAATACGAATCCGAGCTATTTTCAGACGATGAGAAAATAAAAAAATAACAAAAAAAAACTCTAAATAACATTGGAATAAAAGGGGGAAACAACAAACCTAATCAAACAAAATAAATTTTTTTTAAAAAAAAACAGAAGAGAAAACAAAGAAGGGAAATAAGAAAAATGCGATAAAACAATTAAATGCGGAAGAAAACGAATTGACTAGTTCACAAACTGAGGGCTCCAGTAATTCCACGCTGCGTCTCTGTATTCCAAACACACTGAGTGCGCTCTGCAACGGGAAACGCCGATCTATCCGTTTATTCCCAATCTGCTGCGGTTTTACTTCCAGGACTTCAACTTGCAGTAGCATCACTTACACCTGAGCGTTCGTGTGAAAATACATTTGCCTTCTCTCCTTTTCGGCTTCGGCAGAACCCCTTTCCATGCATTGGCATCCGAGCTCTCGGTAAAGAACCGCCGCACTCAGTCAGGCGTCTGGATGCCCGCATTCACTGTAGCAGCGAGGAGGATAGAGGCGCGTTCACGCTCTTCTTTCTCAAGGGAGTTGGACGCGCGCGCTGTTCACGTACGTCAGCCGGCGCGTGCTCCAAATAGAACGCTGGGGAAGTTCGTTTCGAATTCTTCGATTTCGCAGCTCCGAATATGATATTACGTCATTATGCATTGGGTTTTTGCTTCCTTTCTGCCTGCAGGTTGGAAGTGTTGTCGTCAAAATGAGAATGAAGTGAGTAGACAACTTGACACCAAATGAACCAAACACAAATATATGACTTGTGGTAAATTTCACCCCCCCCAGTTTTTCCATGGTCTAAATGTTTCATGGGTACAATAGTTTTTGAAGCTATGCATGGACTGTTTGACAAACTGGGGTAGGCTATCGAAGAGACACCAACCATATGATTAAATGTGTTGAAGCATTAAAAATATTGAAGCAGCACTTTGCAAGTTACAAAACTCAGCACTCTGGCATGGAATGATACAGCCTTTTATGTCCGCGAAGTAAATTCAGTTGGTGCATCAGTCAGCATAAATTGGTCTATAATAACCAGTATGTCTTAAGCAAAATCAGACTCTTTCATGTTGTACTGAATATTTTATGATCTGGGTGAATCGTGATCATATTTGAATCCACAGTTACGGTTTATTTACTTAAATGAACTGATTACAAAAGCAAGTATGAGTAAGAAAAAAAATACAAAAAGGGACAGGAGAAACTGACATGGAATCAACATGGCTGCTGCAAAACAGGAAGTCCTGGCCTAAAAGAGCCAATCATTTAGCAAGTTTTTTGTCTGTAATAGTAGGGTTATTCCCAAGTTACCTGATGATTTACCTGGCTTGAACTTTGGTCTCCTTCATATGTTTCTTGTAGCCAGATAAAAGTCTCTTTTGGTAAAAAAAAATAAAAAAAATCCGGCCTATATAATGTTTCTAGATCACTGGAATTCATAGGTTATCTTGGATGTACTGCCTGTTTAAAATCTTCCTGGAGATATCAATAATATTGAAGTCCATTCCAAAACCTTAAAGGGGTGGTTGATTGCGATTTCACTTTTTTAATGTTAGTTAGTGTGTAATGTTGCTATTTGATCATAAACAATATCTGCAAAGTTACGAAGCTGAAAGTTCAATGCAAACGGAGATATCGTCTTTTAAAATTCCGGCAGTTTAATGCCCACAAAAACGACTGGTAAGGGACTACAACCAACTTTAGATACAGAGGCAGCAAAACAGAGGCTTGTCTTCTAACGATTCTAATGGATTCACAAGTTTCAAAATCAATGTTCCTAAAGCAGCGTTCTCATCCTGTTCCTGGCCTCGCCCTGCTCTGCACATGCTCTGCATCTCTCTCTCTCTCTCTCTCTCTCTCATTCAGATCATCAGCTCAGTGAATACACCTATTTTCACATACTATAGTTATGAGAAGCGTTATACATGGATGTGCGTGTGGTTGCCGAACTGTATTAAAGCTTTAATCAGAATAAAACCGTATATTAAAAGCTAACAGAAGCAGTAGCATTTACAAATAACAGCGTATCTAAAAGTATGAGACAACAACAAACAAAAATCTTAGGCCTACCATTAAAAGCCGGTGTGGAATAAAGGTAAATTATGCGAAAAATGATGCGTTTTTTAACAAAGGAAGCATTAACACATGTTAGACTGCACCCCATAAACACAATCAAGCCTATAAAAAAAACAGTCAACCACCCCTTTAAAAGCTAATTCAACATTTTTTTCTATTGACATAATTATTGGTATTTCTGAGGGAGGGGCTTCATAAAAGCAGGAAATGATCAGCGCGCTCAGAGGAGAAGGGACAGAGAGGTGTGTAATAAAGGTAAATTATGTGAAAAATAATGCGTTTTTTAACAAACGAAGCATTAACACATGTTAGACTGCACCCCATAAACACAATCAAGCCTATAAAAAAACCAGTCAACCACCCCTTTAATATTTTATTTCTTGAAGTAGCATACTGTATAGTAGTAGTATGGTTGATTTTGGTTGGGGATTGCAGTCTGTATAATTTTTTTTTTTATGTTTCCCCCTATGAGACATTACTTTTTGTGATTTAATTATAATTTGTAGAATACTTTCTTCTGCTGCTGGCATGTGGTACATGTGGTTATTGTAGCCAAATGTTACATTTTAATTTTATCTGATCTGACAACGCTATCTCACGACCAATTCGTACGTATTTTACGAGGTGGCTAATTCGTATGTCCTCACTCGTACGATTTTGTACAATTTGTCTAGACCCCAGTGACGGGTAGGTTTAGGGGCGGGGTTAGGTGTTGGTCATTCATACAAATTCATACGAATTGTGCAACTCGTAAAATACATACAATTTAGCAAAAATCGTATGAATTTGTACGAGCGTTAAATTTTCATTTTATCTGATCCAACCAGAACACTTGGTTCAACAACTAAATATTTAAAATATTCAAAATTCAACAGCAACAAACATTTGTTTATTTAGAATTTAATCTCCACCTCCACTTTACTTTTGTGTGCTGGCTTTAGTGCACCACTTTAATAAGTGCTTGTGGGGGGATCACTCTGAACTTGAAAAGGACAAAGCAAACAAGTATTCATATATATTGTTTTTTATTATTATCATAATTATTATTGTTGTTGTTTATAAATTATTTATCTGTGCACATAATTATTTAATTTTTTTAAATTCATGTGCTCTTTAATCAAAATAATTTCCCCTCCCTCTTGCAACGAAATCTCATCTTTTCTCTGATGATATGTATCCCAGCGTGAGGGCGGGACAACCTTTCACTCACTCGAGATTAGGGCTGTCAAAAAAAAATTTGAATTTCGAATATTCGTCGAATTTAAAATAAAAATCCACATTCTAATGCAAAAACGTTGCATTTGAATTTTAGGTGTGCGTCAGGCAGCCTTTTATCAGTGGTGCACGAAATGCGACGACAATGTAATGTTTTTGTTAGCCTATCCAGTTGAACCCACTAGATGCGGCGCTGCTACGTTGTTCATTCAAAATATTGCAGGAAAAGAGAACAATCAATGCGG